AATCCCATTTCACAGCAAACTCTATGTGGCTACTATTGAAGAAATAATTAGTAATAATAGTCCTAAATTAATACATTTAAGTTATAAATAAATATATTAACGCACAGGTCTATACTTCCGATTTTGTTCTCGGCTTCTTCATAGGAAAGTAAAACAAAACCACTGAAAGAAGCAGACTATCTTAAATTTAGTAGATGAAAAGCCGAAATATAGTGTTCACAGATAAAACATTTATTTCAATAAAACAAAATTTCCATGCATATTGTTCCATATGCTAAATAGTAAGAAAACATAATGTTAAATAAAGGGATTTACTTTCATTAATAATTTTGTCAGTCTATATAGAATCTATCATTCTTTAAACTGACAAACATTTTTTCTTTTCTTTTTTCAACCTTTTCTTTTACAATGAAAAACCTGTCTTAAAATCTTTTCTTAACAGTCAATTTCTTCAGATACTTTTATCTTTTTTCTCATACAAATTTCTTTTATCTTCCTTTTTTCTTCAAATACATTTCTTTTTCTTCTTCAGAAATTCTTTATCTCTTTCTTAGGAGCTGAAAACGAAAATTAGAAAACACAACGCCTAACCTAAGCTAAGATCAAATTTTAAAATAAATATATATTTAAAATGTATTAAAATCTCATTTTAAATAGAGAACGAGAATGGGACAGCCTTCCCCGCATCGAACGACTGCCAAATAAAACGTTGACTCTCCGAGTCAACAATACAAACAAATGAAAGGTAATAATTCCTCTTCTTCCTCTTCCAAATAAATGTCTCGTAGACAAAGTTGAAACAAATCTCCAAAAGTCGCCAAGTACCATTGTTATCTTTAACAAAGGTCTATATTTGCCTCAATACCTCAATAGGCCTTATAAGTCAAATCAAAATAAAATATAACTTTTCTCAAGCTATATTTAAACAAATTTATAACTTTTCTCAAGTTATATTTAAACAAATTTTAGCTTCGGAGTTCTACCGGAGCTAATAAAAAATCTTTTGTACAGAGTCGCCCAAAACGAAAAACTCACTATCCCTTTTTCCCATCCCTAAATAAAATCAGATATATAGTAATTAAAGTTAAATAAATTTTAACTATATTAAGAAAATAATTCGACCCGGTAAGTCGAATATTCCAGATAACACGTTACTTTACGTGGCAAACTAAATTAGTTTCCCACGGAGCCAGAATATAAAGAGTTTTAATCGATCAAGGAAAAATCTCTGACTGAGGACAATCTCTCCCCCCAACCTCATAAAAAGGCGTCAATAAAAAAACTATCGTCTATTTGCTATCAGAGGTGTAACGTTTCAAATTTCAACATATTAAATATTTCTTCACTGAAGTTATTGAAATATCTTCGAATTTTAATATTCTAAAATTTTGCAAATAAAAATTCTCAAACTATATAAATGTAACAAAAAATAAATAAATGTATAAATTAAGTGGGTTGTTGAGATACAGTTGAGAGAATATGAAAGACACCAAAAAAAAAAACGACGAAAGTGAGAAAAATCTATGGCGTTAAATATTAAAACTTTTAGCTTAATTTAGAAAATCCTTAAATAGTTTAACAGCTAAATTATTTCTAACGTGTCCTAATTTGAGCCTTTAAAATAAAAGAAAAAGATTCATAGAGAGAAAAAGAGAAGAGTGAACGCCACAGTTTTTATCCTGAGTACTTTTAATGGCACAAAAGAAAAATATTCTGGTATGAAATTTGCAGAGAAACCAAAATCATTACAAAAACAAAAATATTTCTCACAATATACAAATTACAATATAAGCCTTGCACGAAAAGTTCCCTTGGGTATCTCAGAATTATCAAGGCATGTTAACAGTTCTTTCAAATACAAATCAGTTTTCTCTTAAAAGTATAGTTCGTGTAAAGTAAATGTTTTTTTTAGTAACAAAGGGATTTTAACTTCAAAATGTCACTGGTTTCAAAATTGGAAGTTGAGATTCAAAATGGGGTAAGAAAAGTTTTACTCCAACCTCAGCGAAGTTGCTTTTCTGGAATTCTTTTGACAAATATTCTAATTTTTGGAAACGGGCGTCTTCAAATTTGTGATAAACCGTCACGAGTTTATGAAAGTCATTCGTATTATAAAAATTTAAATTTCTTCTATCTTCAACAATGGCAATGGATGTAGTCTTTCATCATCCTAGGTCACCGCGTGGTCTATTTCTTTTCTCAGCTGATGCTAGTTAGGTTAGCCAAAGCTTTTATGAAATAAATTTGCATTTAAATGAAAGCAAATAGAAGCGTACAGTTAAAAAATACGTAATCCGAAAGAATTGAAATTACTTATCTTATCCAAATCACTACTCTCCTTCAATCGTCTGAGAGAACTTTTTGTGCATGGCTGATGCTAACCTTCAGGAGACTATCTCAATGCACCTTCTCGGGATAATGTTTTCCAGTGGCGTGAAGTGGAACGATTATACTGAACTAATTGCTAGTTATGTTCTTAGGAAAGTTGGTTCACTGTGTCGTTCTTGACAATTTTTCTCGCCAGAATATATCTTGCATGTTTATAAGTTTGCAATTTTTCCATACATTGAATATTGCTATCACATCTGGTCAAGATCTTCTGGTATGTATTTAGTGATTCTTGATAAAATCCAAAGAATAATCTGCAATGTTATCGGTCGTAATCTGGTATCTCGGTTTCAGTCACTTTCTCACCGCCGTAACGTAACTTCACTGAAACTTTTCTATAAATATTTGCATGGTAATTGTTTTGATGAACTTTCCTCTTTGTTAGCTAGGCTTTACAAATAAAGCGCAGTACTACATTTGAGGCTAGGTATCATCATTTGACAGTTGATATGATTAGATATAAACCATAAGTTCTATGCTAACAGTCTTTTCTATCGCTCTCTGAATTTTGGAAAGAAATTAGTCTCGGAACTGCGAGAAAAAATATCCAGAAGAATTATTTGAATCGTGTTCTTCGGGCGGTCAAAAAGTGTGTGTGTGTGTGTGTGTGTGTGTGCGCGCACGCGCGCGGGGATTTTAACGAAAACAATAAACCACGCTCCGAGCGAAGATTCTCTGCTTGTCATCATGGGGAATAAACCGAACCGAACATTTTGACAGAAGAGATAGTTAATCGATATCTCAACTGCCTTTCGTCATTTGAACAGACTTGCGTTCGTTTTCAATCTTGAAACTTGAGTGCTACATTCTCCGAAGGAACAGAACCAACTCGATAGTTTTCTGTCGTGATTTATTTGCTGTTCGAAAAGGAACCGTACGGGCAAACATTCCAGTGCCCACCGTATTAATCTAATTATGCTCCTCCGTATTTTCATTTGTTCCGGTCTCTACAGAACAATTTAAATGATAAGAAAATTGACTCTGTAGAATAATTCGAAAACTACCTCGCAACTTTCACACCCGTGAAAACTGTTATAAAGAAAATGCTCATCCCGGCAGAATTGGAAGATGTATCCTCCTTTGCAGAAGCAACCATCGTCTGAATGCTGTCTATTCTAGAAGGAAAACCTCCTAAATAAATATTACTTTTGAATTCAATTGGCTTAAAAATAATTAAAATAATTCAATTAGTCATAGAAGCCAGTTTCACTGTTTTAAAAATGTTATTTTTAACAAACTATCCGAATAAATTGTAATAAAAAGCAAAAAATCAACAGGAGTACAAATTCTGATCGTATCATGTCACATATTCTTCCCGCCATCGCCAGCTATAGGTTAAAATAGCGGAGCAGACTGGTTGGCAGTCAGCTAAGAGCAATATAGAAATCGAAACAAAACAGAAGGTAATGAGAAACCAGTTCATTGTTTCCGAAGAAATCATGGTAATTTTTACATTGAAACATAAGAGAGGCATAAGCGCCTAAGTCTTGAAGAAACGTGTCACTTAAAATTGTTATTACTACAATGATCTTCCTTTTACTATACCAATATATTTAACGCATAATTTGTGGATAAATCATACCAATATAAATAGGTATTTTCAGTATTGTAAAATATCATTTTCTTTGTAGGGAGACCACAATTGTTTTCCCTTTGCATTAGCCCATGAAGCCCATGAGAGTTGTGGCCCCTTTTAGTGAGTAGAACTCTTCTGCCCTTTTTTGTCTTCACTTCCGTTCTGGGAGGAACGACCTCTTTTCCTTCCTGACCACTAGAGCGTCCACACACGTGGAAACTGGTCAACATGTGTACGGCCTAACGAAACAAATTCATTCACTCATCTGGGGACGACCAAATGCCATGAAATTGGTAGGTGATTTCTTTGTTCTAATTCTGTTTAACCTCCTCGTTCCTTTGGGACAATATGGACAATTATTTGTTTTGGGACATGTATAAATCTTGTGTATATATTTACGAAGGCTGCTTGCCACATTAAATGTTTCATTGGTTACGCTCGCGTATTTCGTCTTTTCATATTCGCATTCAGTGTTAGTGTATCAATGGCTACGCTAATACTAATATTAGTATCGGTGTGCTACTGAAGGCTAGAATGCGTTATTCTACCTAACATAGAATAGTCAGTAAACTCTGTGTGGCAAATACACACCTTATACTAATAAGTGGTGACTCCATCGTGGCAGTATATTTTTGCAATTTGCAAAATAACTGTTAATGTTAACTTCGTGTGTTAGAGAGTGTTTTTTTCTTTCGACACAAATAATTTGCGATATAGGAATGACGACTTGTATAACATGGCAACATGGCTTCCCTTTCCCTCGTGTGCTTTTTCTCCCATCCTGTATTTGAATTTGGCGCCGGCCTGCAACATTAGACTGCCTCACCCTTGGAGGCACACTGGTCAGTAGCTTACTGCTAGAGTTCACAACACCCATGAGTGGTAATAGCTGTGATAGCCATTTCTGACTTTTTGTTTAAAATATTTAAATAAGTTTGTTTGTGTTTTTTCTTTTTCTTTTTTTTCTTTCTCTGTGGTACTTCGCATTGTGAGGCGTATTTATGTGTGCTAACTATCCCCATAGAGAATATACGATATGGATGAGGAAAAAACGGCCGCGGTGTCCGCAGTGAACACTGTCAGCTTAGCCTACTTTAAAGCGGACACAGCTTTATTTTTCGCACAGTTAGAGTCGGAGTGCGAACTCAGAAAACAAAATTTAATTTAGCGGTCTCCAAGTTACCTCTCGAAGCTGTCCAGGTGAGAGAAATTATTATCTCTCCGCCGAAAGACAAGCCATATTACAAGTTAAAGGAGGAACTTGTTCGGAGGACGTATATGTCACGGCAAAAGAAATTGTACCAGCTTTTGCATGAGGAACAATTGGGAGACAGCAAGCCGTCGCAATTTTTACGTCGTTTGCAGCATCTAGCCGGAGAAAGTAATGAGGATGGCATTATATGTCATATTTTTCTCCAGCGTTTGCCCCCTGCGTATCACGCTGTTTTAGCCGCGGTCGGTGAAGATGCACCCGTCGAAAAGATGGCTGAAATAGCAGATAATGTAGCTGACCTAACTTCGGGATGCACTGCTCCCGTTTCTGCCGTACAGACGCAAGAGCCAGATCCGCTGGCTAGACATTTGGAGGGACAACGAAGGTTAGAGGCTAGGATGGAAGACTTAGAGAGACGGTTGCAGAAGGTTAGCATTCACCGCTCCCAAAGTAGAGGTCGTGTAAAAGCTGTTAGCAAGGACCAACTTACACAGGAAATTCGGAGATAGGGATATTTATTATAAGCCCCCCCCCGTTCTTTCAATTCGCAACAGGGAAAAGCCTAGGCTGGCGACCGGAGGCGACCCGGTGCGCCGGCGTGGGAGAGGTTTGTAGCTTACTATTTGTTTCGGACCGCACAACTGGTATACGTTTGCTCGTGGACAGTGGTGCGCAAATATCTTTAATTCCTGCCACTAGGGCAGACAAGTTAAAAGGCTCTCACAAACTTACCCTGCAGGCCGTGAATAAGTCGCTCATCCAGACTTATGGTCAGAGGTGCCTTACATTGAATTTGGGTCTGAGACGGGTTTTCACCCATTTCTTTGTCCTTGCGGATGTAGAAAAGGCCATATTGGGTGCAGATTTTTTACACAAATTTGGTCTTCTCATTGATGTTCACAGACGTTGTCTGACAGACCCTAAGACAAATACTCAATCGCCGGGAGCCATTCATAATGTAATTCCATTATGTCCTACTGTGGCTAACACAGAAGATAACCCTATGTTCTGTGAACTTTTACAAAAGTTTGACAGTATTACTAAACCGGCTTTTCATAAAGATAGTTTACCCCACAATATAACACACCACATCGCTATTAGCGGTCCTCCTGTTCACAGCCGTCCTCGTCGTCTGGCACCGGAAAAATTGAGTTTAGCGAAAGCGGAATTTACCCAAATGATGGAACTTGGTATTATCCGGCCATCAAAGAGTAACTGGGCATCTCCTTTACACCTGGTACCCAAAAGTGGTGGTACCTGGCGAGCTTGTGGGGATTATAGGGCACTCAACTCTGCCACTAAACCTGACCGTTATCCCATTCCTCATATACATGACGTAACGGCCATCATTCAGGATAGGTGCATATTTACTAAATTAGACCTTATCAGGGCCTACCATCAAATTCCGGTAGAACCTGAACACATTCCAAAGACTGCCATAACAACACTATTTGGGTTGTTTGAGTTTCTGCGTGTGTCATTTGGACTAAGAAACGCAGCACAGTCTTTTCAGAGATTTATTGGCCATGTATTGCACGGTCTGCATTTTCTCTGTGCCTATGTGGATGATGTACTTATAGCCAGTTCTTCCATGGAAGAACATATTAAACATTTACAGCTCGTTTTCGAGCGCTTTGAGAAATTTGGGGTTGTTAAAGTGTGAGTTTGGAAAGTCTGAAGTTATTTTCCTAGGTCACCGCATTAATTCAGCTGGAGTTTCCCCTTCTCCATCTAAAGTGGCGGCCATTTCTGACTTTCCCTTGCCAGATACCATGAGAAAGTTGCGACAGTTTTTAGGGATGGTAAATTTTTTTCGAAGGTTCCTTCCAAATTGTGATAGATATTTTAACTGGTGTCAAAAATTGTGACATAGTTTTGTCTGATGAAGCCTTGGCAGCCTTCCACCAAATTAAGGTTTTATTGTCCCGAGCAGTTGAATTGTCACATGTTGTCCCAGGTAGCGAGTTGTGTTTGGCAGTGGACGCCTCTTCGATTGGTGTGGGTGCAGTACTACAGCAGAAGATTGATGACCACTGGAAACCAATTTCTTTCTTTCTTTTCCAAGAAGTTAACTTCTACGGAATCCAGGTACAGCACATTTGGACGTGAACTTCTCGCAGCTTATTCAGCGGTCCGTTACTTTCGACATTTGTTGGAAGGGCGGACTTTCTACTTACTGACAGACCACAAGCCCTTGTTGGGGGCTTTTCAGTCAAACTCTGACAAGTATTCCCCACGTGAAACCAGACACTTGGATTATCTGTTACAATTCACATCAGATATCCGTTTCGTCAAGGGAACAGACAACATTCCTGCAGACACTATGTCTCGTGGCATAAATGCTTTTGTGCTGGATCCGTGCTTGGAACATCAATCATGTGTGGAAGCACAGGAGAAGGATCAGCAAATACAGCATCTGCTACGAGAGAACAACACATCCTTGACGTTGTCGAAAATACATGTTCCAAACACAGAATTGGATGTTGTATGTGACATCAGCACCGGACGATTGCGCCCCTTCGTGCCTGAGTCAATGCGGAAGACGCTATTCTCCTCCATGCACAATTTGTCCCACTCAGGAGCTAATGCCTCAATACGGCTAATCACAGACAGATTTGTTTGGCCACGCATGAAAACTGACATTTGACAATGGTCAAAGAATTGTGTGCCATGCCAGAGGGCCAAAGTCGGGAGACATACCCGTTCACCTCCTGGATCCTTTCCATCACCCGACGAACGGTTTGCACATGTTCACGTGGACATCACAGGACCACTCCCTTCATGTGAGGGAAAGACATATCTATTTTTTTTTTTTTTTTATGTGTTGATCGTTTCTCCCGTTGGTGTGAGGCTCTTCCCATGTCAGACATTACGGCACATACTACGGCAAAGACTTTTGTTTCAAGATGGGTTTCCCGTTTTGGGGTCCCTGCTTTAATTACTACAGACAGAGGGCAGCAATTCGAGTCAGACCTGTTCAACCAACTGATGAGGATCTTGGGGAGTAAAAGTGTCAAAACCACCGCTTATCATCCCGAGGCTAATGGCTTAGTGGAACGGTTTCATCGTACACTTAAACATCAAGGGCGGTGGCTTTAAAGGCCGTGACGGATCAGGTAAATTGGCTGGAGCATCTATCGTTGGTTCTTCTGGGACTCCGCACTGCGGTTAAAGACGATCTTAAATGTTCATCTGCTGAGATAGTTTATGGCACCACACTCAGACTCCCAGGACAATTTTTTCTGCAACCTCCACAAAAAGTTTTGAACTTGACCTCGTTCGTTGATCGGCTTACCGCGAGCATGGCGAATTTGGCATGTAAGTCTTCTGCGCAGGTTCAAAGACAGATATATGTGCCTAAACTACTGCCGACATGCACACATGTTTTTGTGCGGGACTTGGCTAAGTCCCACACATTGCAGCCAGCCTACAGAGGACCCTTCAAAGTCCTAGAGAGACGTTCAAAGTATTTTATGGTGAGCATTAACAATGCAACACAAAGCATTACTGTTGACAGGTTAAAGCCTGCCTTTTTGGACACTACCTGGCTCAGCATGGAAACTTCAGTGACTACTCCATCACCAGTATCACCGGGGGTAGTGAAAGAGACCGTGACCAGATCTGGCCGCCGTGTTAGATGGCCCAAACATTTATTGACATAAGTCATTTTCAGGTTTTGGGGTTCAGCAGAACTATAACTGTAGGATATTCTTCCCTCCACATTGAACTCTGCCTTTTTCATTATGTTTCTTTAAATTTGTAATACATGTTTTGAAGTTTTGTTTTTGTGACATTTTAGTTGTATCTCTAGTGCAGGTTAATGAACCTGTCTAGGGAGGGGGTACTTGTAGGGAGACCACAATTGTTTTCCCTTTTGCATTAGCCCATGAAGCCCATGAGAGTTGTGGCCCCTTTTAGTGAGTAGAACTCTTCTGCCCTTTTTTGTCTTCACTTCCGTTCTGGGAGGAACGACCTCTTTTCCTTCCTGACCACTAGAGCGTCCACACGTGGAAACTGGTCAACATGTGTACGGCCTAACGAAACAAATTCATTCACTCATCTGGGGACGACCAAATGCCATGAAATTGGTAGGTGATTTCTTTGTTCTAATTCTGTTTAACCTCCTCGTTCCTTTGGGACAATATGGACAATTATTTGTTTTGGGACATGTATAAATCTTGTGTATATATTTACGAAGGCTGCTTGCCACATTAAATGTTTCATTGGTTACGCTCGCGTATTTCGTCTTTTCATATTCGCATTCAGTGTTAGTGTATCAATGGCTACGCTAATACTAATATTAGTATTGGTGTGCTACTGAAGGCTAGAACGCGTGATTCTACCTAACATAGAATAGTCAGTAAACTCTGTGTGGCAAATACACACCTTATACTAATATCTTTTTTCTCCACTCTGTTATTCTTTCTCCAAGTCTTCTGTGTTTAAACAGTCAATCTTTCTATTTTTCTTCTACTCTCTTTCTCTTTGAGTGAGCGAGAAATAGAATTCACCCATTTTTAAATAAATAGCGTGTTTATTTTAATTTATCATTTGCTCTAAGTTCCTTGTTGTTTACGTTTCCTGTGAATCACGTGATTCTCGGAAGATACCCGTAAGATAAATACAAACCAACCAATTCAGATAAGAAAAAAATCCCTATTTTGGGAGTTTTGCGAAAATCTGTGTTCATAAGCACACATGAACATACACGACAAGATACCCAGATAAACTTTCAAATCTGCCACTTGTAGATTATAATGATCTGGAAACCTCGGGTATCTGACCTACTAAATACCAGTTCTTGGGAAGAACCTGTGTACGTGGCATGGCGGGTGCTTAGCTTTAAAGCTTTGAAATGGTGCCACAAAAGAATGTCGCTCATATGAACATTTGCCATGCAAATAGAGATAGAATAGCGACAGGCTTCTGATGTTTCATTAGTAGAAAAAAGGCGGTATACAATTTGTATAGAATTAATAAACAATATTCTGAGATAAAATTAATTACGTATTAAAATGCAACTCAATTTCAGTGTATGACATTAAAAAATTCTATTTTCTATTCTTTTTTATGAACTGATTTCAATTATCAGATACTCGAAATATCAATTTTGATATTTTAAAAATAAATTTCGTGTTATATTTACAAGTAGAAAATCATAATTAATGTTCAAAATTTGTAACGTTGAAAATGTTGGGAAAAATGAAACACCAATTATATCAGATGTAATGGCTGATCGACGTCAATGGGTCAATACTTACAAAAGAAAAATTAAATTACATTAGAAACATTTAAAAAACGGTTACCAATTAGAATTTGTTTTTATTTGCAAAACAGAATAGTCTGACCACCGTTAAAACCTATTATTGTTAGTAATTGTGATAAACTGTTTACAGCATAATTGATATTTATTGCAGATATATTTGCATTAAAGAACCAATGAAAACCTATCTATACATAGCTTCTCTCTTTTCTCCCTCTCTCACATACACAGACACATACTTACACTATGTCGTGCATATTAGGCTCAATGAATGCCCGATAGTTGTTGCCTTGTGTCAGACTAAACTAAGCTTCTTCACCCTCCTCATAAGTCCCATCATCGATTGTGGTTGAAGTAAATTTTGTTCACAACGTTTAACAAATCAATAAATTAATAAAAGTCAGAGAATCAGCAGAAAAAATAATCATACTCCGATTACAATAAATTCAAGCAGCCATCGATTCTGCTTACTGTGGAGGCTCATACCTCATGTATAATGTCTAATATTTTCAAGTGGAAATTGGAGTGCGCACTGTTGATAAAGGAATCCCTAGTATTTACTTAATGATTTGCCATCAGCTCTAAGATTTACACATGAAAAGGAAAACAATATGACATTAACATTTGTTGTCAATCTGAATTGCGATTTGAGGTGGTAGGAGATAATGATTACCTATTAGATGTTATACAATCTAGCAATCGTGCTAAGATGGCGCAATTTAATAAATACTAAATTCTGAGCGCACTCATTTACAATTATGAATGTCAATTTGAAGCTGAATTAGAATTAATCAAAGTTTGGTAATAAGAATAGATCCGCACGTGCTAGCTAAGATCCACCATGCAATAATTTGCATAAGTTAGTTAATTCTTCAGGTTCAGCGATTGTTTAAAACTTAATAATAATCCGGTATGTATTATGTCGTGTACCAAAGTTCCTTTACCATAATCAGAAGCGTGCACTCCGATTAACACTTGAAAATATCATGAAATCGAAAATATATTAGGTCAAGACAGCCTTCCCTCTGTAAGTAATGGCAACATGAATGTGATTATTTCTAATTATTCTGCTGATTCCGCAGTTATTCTTAATTTATTTGGTTTTTAAACATTGTACAAACAACTTACATTTTTGTCCTTTTTGTGTTATTTTCTTGTTTATTGTTATTATTGTTGTTATTATTTCGATTCACCTCTTTACGGTGATTTTATTATCCTTTTTCTCCACCCCCACATTGTTTTTATATTCATTGCTGTATACAGGGCATGTCCCTAAAGTCTTAACACATAAGCAGAAATTCATATTTCCAAAACATTAAATTTTCAACATTTTTATTGAATTGGAATATTAACAAATAACAAATCCAACAGACTATATGAAGTCATATGTTGGTCGAATTTAACTTTAAGTCTCTTGGAAGTGGCAACTGATATCTTTCCGATACCCTCATTCATACCTCTCTCACTTCATGAGATAAGGAATAACTGATCTTATGATTCGGAAGCTATTTTGTTTTTACTTTTGTTTTTATAACAAACCCTATGTTTCCCTATTATGAATACTTTTATGTTAGATTGAGAGATAAATGCAGTTTTCCTCTGTTAAAAGTTAAAAGTTGTTTAGTTTTGCTAAATTAACTTTTCGATTCAGCAACTCTCTTACAGACGCTCACGTCCAATCACAAAACAAGCAAGTCTTTAAGTTAACAACCAAATTAAAATAGTAAAAGCTTGAGGACCCTTAGATGGTAACAGAAGCTCATTTTCCTCACTGAAATTCATTAAAAAAGACAATTAAGAAAAGCTTACAGAATTTATCATTGCTTATTTTCTGATTTCGAAAACTACTAGAATTCATTTCAATATAATTCGATGTTTAGCACAATTTAGCAGACTTAAATATCCATGTTAAATATCTTGTTATCTTATAAGCACTTTTGCCACAATAATGTGTACTCTGTAATACTGAATGCTTTATAAATGTATCTTTTGTTTAAATGAATATAACATTCTCTTTTCTTTTTAAATGTAACCTCAATATTTCACTATTAGATAATTTATTTGAAGCGTCAGATGGGCAAATATTATTATTTGTAAAGCTTCTGGGCATTCTCATAATGAACACCTATTCAGAAATTCTATTGCTTTGAATAATTTTAAATATGTGATTTCACTGCCGGGCAGTTATCGAATGATGCAAGTAGTTGTTTTTTTCCGACTCGTTAATTATTGGCAATTTTTCTTTCCTTCTCTTTTGCAGGGTGCTCACGGAACAAGAGATCCGAGAGTCACGATACTACCTCCGCTTTGAACCTGAGGCGGCGACTCAGAACAAGAACGAAATGGGAGATGATACTGCTGAGTTAATAGAAGAAACATCGCTACCTAAATCTCCCCGATATAAAGTACTCGAGGAAATTGATGAAGGTGGCTTCGGTCGAATTTATAAAGTTCTAAACACAGAAACCAACCGTGAGTTCGCCTTGAAACGGCTGTGTTACGAGGGTGAATTTCAGGACGATAAATATGTATTCGCCGAAGTTTACTGTCTGTCGAAATTAAAACACCCAAACATTATCGAATTAGAAGAATTCATTTTAAAGCCAGAACGACTTTACATCATTATGGAATATGCTAGATACGGCAATATTGAACAGTATGTAATAAGGAAACACCCATTACCACCTTCTGAAAATATGGGTTACTTCAGTCAAATAATGTCTGCTATTTGCTACTGTCATTCGCGTAATATTGCCCATAGGGATTTGACACCAAGCAATGCTCTTCTTACTGAAAGCTTCAATTTAAAACTAGCTGACTGGGGACTAGCAACGCCATGCGGTAAAGACCGAGACAATCCAATCTTTAGTGAAGACTACATCGGTGATTCTCGCTATCTTCCACCAGAAGTGTTACGTCGCGCACCGTTCAGCCCGTTACCGACTGATGTCTGGGGATTAGGGTGTGTGTTATTTTTTATGTTAACTTCCGAGCCTCCTTTTGAAGGCACAGAGACATCTATCATAAACCAGCAAACAGGATCGGGGGTCATATTTCCAGATTGGCTGAGTGGTTGTGATATTCCAGAAACGCTTCGGATAATAAAAAACATCAATTTTTTATTAGTAGCAGACGAGTTAAAGAGACCTAAAGTTGAAGAAGCCAGAGATTTTTTTATCTCGAGTGGAAAGTAGGGAAAAAATGTTTTTATAAATTAAGTCATATTTTTAAAAATCACAGCTGAAAATGATTTAAAAGATATTTCATCGGCTATTTTTAACACACCATAAATAAAAAAGAAAGTCTATGCAATGCTTCAAATTGCATATAACTTCCTATGTGTTTTCCTTTTCTGCGCATATTGTAATAATAACTGCTGCTTTGGAATTTAAACGCTAATGCTGGTACTAATGTTCGCATACTTGTAACAATGGAAGGATTGTTTGAGTAGAAAGTGAAAAGATGTAATAATAGTATTATTAATAATCCTAATGTCGATTAAGTAGGAAAAGGACAAAGGAAAGGCGAAGTGAAATGTAAAAGCAGCGTTTCCAGTTTTAAATTTATAATTGTATGTCACCAATATAAAAGAAAATGCGCAAAGTTTGTAAAATAAACTTTGTAGTATTCACACACACGCGCACGCGAATGTACGATGTAGTGTAACGGGTTTCAGCACAGAAAAAGGAAGCAAAAAACAGAGTTTGAAACTTAGCTGTTAGTGCTTCTATTTACATACTAATTATGCTCTTGGGAAATATATAAAATCACATCTGTATCTTTTTATGTCGCAAAATATCTTGGTATTCTCGTTACTGGCACACCACGAATTGACAAACATATGTTGCAGTGACTATCGCCCAGGGAAAACAGTTACACTCATCTAGACCGTTAATAATGGAAAGATAAGATCTACTCACTACCTCTAGATTTTCATTTTCATTGAAAATGACCAGTGATAGGTGGAAAGTACACTGAACATTGCACTCAATTTCAGTAAATTCTTTTACAGGTTTCCATCTGACATCAAACGATTATTCGACACCAGAAGAAAGTCACCAAAAGGCTAAACAGACATTCCTTGTCGTTCTATTTAATAAAACATATTGAAACGACCGTTTCCTGTCTATATGTCATTTTGACTCCCTCTCTCTATTTCTCTTTCTCTCTCTCACACACACACGCACACATAAACACGTATATAGAAAGAGAGAATCTACACTGATTGCGACTTTCATGTCTCAATTCGATCTTCTGAAGATCTAATTCAATCTTGAAACTGACAACGTTGGTTGATTCCTATCTTCACATCGTTTCTCTATATAAAAGTTCTATCTCCGAAATAGAGAAAATTTCACATATAAATATAGCAAATCCTATATGTATATATTTATATCTACTCCAAAAGTTATTATGTGTAAACTCATATTTAACGTTTTCAATAGTAGAAAACGATATCGGATAAGAAATCCATTGATTCCCGAGAAATATATATATATATATATATATATATATATATATATTAAAAATAGTTTTAAGTTATACTATATTTATAGATTAATATAGGGGCAGCAAATTTGTATATATAAAAGTGAACATGGTGGGAAATTCACAGCGACGATATATAAGTATGTTATAACATCACTACAAAAATTGCCATTGTTTCAAAACTTCTACTGTCTTGTCAAGCGATGGTGTTGATTGCAAAATAAAGAGTTTGTTCAAAACCCAATAAAACACCTCAGTAGGGGAAACATTGACAAATCAGAATATAAGTATATGATAATTCAAAAAACATGACAACAGACCCTAAATACAATCTATTAGTGCATTAAAGTTAAGATTAGATTAAATTAGAAATCAACATAATTAATTAAGTTTTAATTTCATAGTCAAATTAAAAAATAAAAATTTCGAATTCTAAAATAACCGAGTATCAAGTTTAAAATGTTAAAAAATCATTCATAAATGAAACGGTGGAAAATATAATTATATTTGATTTTGTTCTAAGCGAAGTACCATTTTATCACTTAAGTTCGAAACTGAAGAAGTATCTGTTATAGACAAGCGTATGGTTATGGTTGGTTTATTTCAAAGGAAAGGGTTTGGGAAGCTACCTTGTGGTAAAGTTCATAAGCCGGTTTTCGGATCTGGTCGAATATAGATTTACGGTGGTTCAACAGGAACGTGGTCTTTTGGGACAGCTTGTGGAAAGTTCATAAAAGCCATGTGGGTCTGTCTTAGATTAAAACTTAGCTAGCCACATCCACTGACCCTATCATACTGAACAATATTCCTTTCACCAAAACAACACATTTAACCATACCTTTCCTTACTACATACACCAAAATGCCTCTTTGACTCCAAAACAAAAAACCTAAATGATCCCCTTATGTACAAATATTGTCTGTGGGGGGGGGCATAAAAACAACAACTTCTAAAAAAGATCCCCAATGAAATATATACAAAATGACAAAATAATATTTACAAGAAACCAAATAAAATTAGTGTTAGTAATAAAACCCCCCACAAACTATTGAATGTGGCAGAAATATCAGTTAACCGGACGAAATCGATGCGGGACTTATGAAAAAATAAAGCCACACTCATTCATCCCAAGCATTCACACAGGCACACACTCATTCATACACAACAACAAATACGAAAAACACACGCACGAAAACGAAAAGCGCCCCGCATCTACCAGAGAACTGACATCACTGACCACCTAAAACGAGGGAGGGGATGGGGAGTTAAACTAAAGGAAAAGAAAAATGGGGACAGAAATAAAAGGGACCAATGAGCAAATACACCCTAGCTAAGTTTACCAGAATAGAAAAACTAAAAGAAAAAATACAAAAAACCTAATCTAATCTAACTCCGGGATGGGTTGCCTATGTTCAACCCAGGAAAACAATATCCTTAATGCCTAACCGGCATCCAAATGCCACTCAAGGTCAGCCCCTTTTACTCGGCACATTCGCGCAAGAATCACCCACCTTTTGCTGAATTCCGATGAGGTGAGCCGCCGCCTTTCCGTCCTGATCTTGACTTTAAGCTGATGCTTAAAGAACAAGATCAGTTGGGAAGAAGTGAACTTCTCGCCCTCATGAAATCCCTTCTGACGCGTCGTCCAAATCACGACTCTCATAACCCCTAGTAAGCAACAGAACACATAGTGTTCAGCCTTCGTCATCTGCGGCACCACATTGCTACAAACAGAACTGGCTTCCAGGACAAAAAACTTTCCGTGCAGCATGCGAACCATGAGGCCTTCAACAAACCTGCACAACGGCACTACCGCCCTGCACTGAAAGAAGGCGTGACCAATAGTCTCGACTTCCCCGTACAGCGACGACAGTTTGGATATTTCTCCAAGCCTGCTGAACAAAGTCTCTTGCCGACCCAGAGGGCTTCACGAATCACCAGCCAGGTGAGTGATGCCTCATCGTTATTGAGACATTTCAACCCGGGCGCCCAAGGCCATATCGAGCGAGCCTCCTGCTTCGTAAGACCGAGCTCGCCAATCAGATCATCTTGTACGGACCCCCTAACTAAAACTTGATATAATGCCTTGCGAGACAACGCCTGGGCGTTGGAGAGACCATCCGAAGCCCGTAAGAGGAGCTTCAGAGCGCGACGACATTCACGATAAAAAGAGCACTCGGCACGTGGTAAACGGCCGGCCTCTTGTTCGCACGAGTGCACACTTTTCAGGGTTGGAAAATGTTTCTGGACGTCTTCTTTCCAAAAGGCACCCTCCTCATTCGACCCACGACACATTCGGTCTAAAAAGGTAATGCGAAGCATATATTGACGGATCTCAATGCTAGGCATCCCCAGACCGCCCTCAGAGGGATGGAGGCAACAGACCTCGCGAGATACCAAAGGGGCCTTGCCTCTCCACAAGAAAGAGAACAAGGTCCTGACTAATGACATTAGTCGGGCATACGGGAGTGGAAGCACAGAGAGTCGGTAGAGGAGGATCGGATAGATGTGTGAAACACATACTTCCGCCCTTCCCTTCAGGGAAAGTCTCCTCCGAGACCACAGATTAACCGCGATCTCGGCCTTCCCTTGTACCTCCGACCAGTTCATTTCCAACTGGAGATCAGGACCGAACCAGACGCCGAGTATCTTGATCGGCCCATCCGTCCAGAGGAAAGGTCCGGGAAGAGAAACTCCCTTCCACGCACCCAACCGCAAGCCCACAGACTTATCACGGTTGATCTTGGCCCCTGTCACCATCTCATACCCACTTATTTCTTTGCTGACTTCGTCAATCTCGGCTCTGCTCGACACAAGAGCCGAAACGTCGTCAGCATAGGCAGAATACCTGGCCGAGGTGGTAGCGCCAGGCAGGGTAATTCCGCGCAGGACCGGATTCGCCTTTAACTTGCGAAGGAATGGTTCCAACGCAAGAACGTAAAGCAAGGGCGATAGCGGACAACCTTGACGAATGGAGCGAGACAATACGAAAGGCTCCGACCTTACCCCATTCACTTCCACCAGCGCACCGGGGGTCGCATACAAGAGTCGGATCCAGGAGCGAAAGTCGGCTCCGAAACCGGCCGCCGACAGGACAGCCTCCAGAAACCGATGGTCAACCCTATCGAAGGCCTTGGACTGATCTAAATTGATCAGCGCGGCTTCACTGTCGACTTGTTCTAAGATCAAGCGTACCATATGAAGGTTATCCTGAATCGTCCTGCCCTTCACAGCACAAGTCTGTTCGGGGCCAATCAGACGAGACAGGACAAGCTGCAAACGGTTGGCTAAGATCTTCGCCAAAATCTTTAAGTCAGTATTTAACATCGTCAAAGGGCGAAAGTTCCCTAACCCATCCCCACCGTTCTTGTCCTTACGCAACAACTTGATCACACCCCTGGTGAAGCGTCGAGGTAAAGACCCTGCCTCATCCAGTGGTTGTAAATCAGCTGCAGCAAAGGAACAAAAACGGGCGACAGCCTCAAGTACACTTCGTAGGGAAGTCCATCTAGTCCCGGAGACTTATCCAGGCCAACCTGCTTCAGCGCATCCCAGATTTCCGACTCTGTTATGGGACCCTCGCACCTAGCCGCTTCAGCTGCCTCAAGGCAGGGAAAGTCAGCCAAATAGGCATCGAACTGAGCAGAGCTCAGACCGGGCTCCCTGGTGAAAAGATCCTGAAAATAAAGCCGAAAGGCCTCGCATA